ATAATACTAGTTCAGAAATTGTTAAATTTACAAGACCAAAAGTGTTTTATGAATATTCACAAGCAAAAGGAGCCGTTAATATTAATAATCAGGTATGCTAATTTTATATTATATGTATATATATATATATATAGTATTATTATATAATTTTATTATATTATTAGATTCGAGATAATATGACTTCATTTCATGATGTAATGCGAGGATCAAATTGGCAAATACGTATATTTTCTTTTTTATTAGGAATTGCAGAGGCTAATGCTTTTCTTACCTACAAAAAATGGCATGAAGAAGCATATAATCTTTCACATTTTGATTTTAGAAGGTGATTAGCAGATGAAATGCTTGGTATTGACTATAATGTAACTGAAAATTTAAGAAGTAAAAAGCGTGTAAAAACATTAGAATCACAACATAGTTTAGCTACATTCCCTAAAAAAAAGGAAAGAAATGGTAAAACAAAATATCCACAATTGCGTTGTAAATACTGTAGTAATAGATCAAGATACCATTGTATTTGCAATATGGCAAAAGCTGTATGTATTAATTGTTTTAGCAAACATCTTTTAAATTTATAAAAAGTATATAAAATAAATAAATAATCTTGATCTATTTGTGATTAAATTTTTTTGATTATTATTATATACATTTATAAAATATTTAAAAAAATTTACTGTACTAAATTTAGTACAATAAAAAAGTGTAAAAATTTTTTATACTCAAGTTTAATTTATACAAAATTTTGTATATAAATACTAATTAATTTTTTGTATAAATATTATTTAAGGTTTAATTTATATTTTAGCAAATTATAAATAAAATTAATTGTATTGCCATTGAGTTATGATTTTTTTAAACTGTACTAAATTTAGTACAAAAGGCTAACAGATACCCATTAAAATAAATCAGACTATAATTTGATATATTTATTAATAATTAATAAGTATAGATACAAATATATATACAAAATAAAAAAAATATTAAGAAAAAAAAATATTAAACAAAAAAAAATATTAAAAAAAAAATATTAAGCTATTCGTTTACTTAGTCATTCCACTATAATATCAGAAGCTGGTCTTTTACCACTTGCTTTGTCACCTCCATTTCTATCACCCCATTTCCACTACCCCCATTTTTACCACCATCATTACTATCCTCACCTTTATCCTCATTATAATCACCATCATCATTTTCATTATCTTCATCATCTTCATTATCTTCATCATCATCATCTTCATCTCTTCATCCCCACTAGAATAAATTTCTTCATTTTCTTTACCTGCTGCCCAATCGGGTACATTTTCAGGTCTCTGAACTCTCAACGTATATGATCTTTTACGGTGACGTTTTTGAGCTGGCATGATTGTCAGATCGAGGATGTTATGCAACAAGTGAATTAACTATTAAAATAAAAAATAAAAAAATAAATAAATTTTTATAATTAGT